AATCAATTGAAAGAATACCCTCGGGTGAGGATTAACAAAAAAATAAAGGTTCAGAAACACATTCTCTGTTGAGTGACGTGTGGATAGGGAAGAACATGGTCGAACGGTGAACTCTGACCTGGGCAGTGGGGATGTGAAGAATGGGGGTGAAAAAGAAGAGAGAAGCAACTATGAAGTAGATTTAGGAGGACAGAGATAAAGTTTAAATCTATTTTTCTTTAGGAATAAAAAGATTATTTTTTAAAAAAGTAATTCCTGCTCCAGCTTTTCAGAATTTCCACAAAGGATGTTGCAGAGGTGCACGTCCAGCCACTTGCAGGCGGACTTGTCTATCGTTTACAAAAACATGAACAAACCCCCGAACTACACTTTCCAGCCTCAAACCCTCTGTTGTCTTTGGAGTCTCTGGCGAGTCGGGGGCCCTGGGAAAGGGGGGGCCCTGGCAGCTGGGCCGGTGGCTCAGCCCCGATGCTCGGTCCTTGTCCAGGCCACGCCCGGGCGCCACGAAAGGGCCTCTCTGGATCGACAAGGACTCGGTGCGAAGACCCACCGAGTCCGCCTCATTTTTACTGTGTTTCTCCCCCCTCCTTGTGGTGCGGTTTGGGTTCCCTTGGTGGGACTGGCATACAGAGGGCTTTAGCAGCAGTGTAGGCAGTGAGGACATTGGCCGGGAGCGCTGGTGAGCTCCGTGCCAACTTATTTCCAGTTAAAGTGGGACCGGGCAGCTGAGGAACTGGAAATGGCAAAAGGGTGAACGTGGAAGGTCTTGGCCGCTGCTGAGAGGTGCCTGGGGCACCCGTTCACTGTGCCAGGGGGTGCCGGATCCACAGGGCGGTGCAGAGGGAGTGACCCCACCCTGCCCCCAAATCTGCAGCCGGCTGTGTGCCGCCGGGGCCAAGGCCGGGCAGCCCGTCCTGCTGGGGACCACACTGCTCCCAGCCCCAGCGTCAGCCAGGTGCCAAATCTATTCCTGCAGATACAGAGGGTGTTCCTGGCACACAGACCGCCATCCGCACAGCCCCTGGGCATTTCAGCACACATCCCGCCATTCCTGCCCGGTGCGGGCCCAACAGCCGAAGCCAAGCCGCGGTGGCTGGAGGAGTTTCGGGAAAACCCAGGAAGCGGCTCAGACCTGCCAGGGGCCTCACGCTGTCCAAACCAGCCCTGTCCTGGAGCTAGAGCTGGGGGAAGGGGGTGGGGGGGAGTTCCGACTGGGTCTTTGTTATTCCACGTGGGACAGCTGGAAACAAAGGAGCCAATAGACCACATGGGGGAGGTCAAGGCCACTGGAGCTGCTGGTGGCTTCAGGGTGCAGTTGACCGGGGCCTGGCCTCAGAGGCCTCAAACCCAACCTCCGAGGGTTTAGGCACATGGGAATGGACCTCCCAGGAGAACCTGGGGCTGAGGGGAGGGTGAAGGGAAGGGGCGGGAGGGAGCGGGTCTGAGACTGTAGACCAGGAATGCCAGAGCCGGGCAGAAAGACAGACAGGAATGAGCAGGGACAGACAGCGATGAGCAGACAGACAAGGAGCAGACACCACACCCCCCAGTGAAGAGAGGAGAACCAGCTGCGTGCTCACAGCGCGGGGCTCATTCAGGCCTCGCTGCAGCCACCTGCCCTCGGGAGCTCAATCCGAAATTCCACCCCCACCCACCTCCTGCCTCTCCTCTCTCCTTCCTTCAGTTTCGATTTGCTTACATGTTAAAGAAAAACGTTTAATTTTGACATAAGTTGTAGGTTCACAGCAAGTGGCAGAGACAGTGAGAGCAGCCCCTGCAGCCTTCACCCAGGTCCCCCCCGCCCCGCCCCCCGCTCCCGGCTGCAGCTCACGTCACCGCAGAGCAGTACCGAAGCCCGACACTGACCCTGGCCCCGTGGGTGTGGGCGGCTTTGTCTGATTTCAGAGAAGGAAGGGAGAGAGAGAAACATCAATGAAAAGAGAGAATCACCGACCGGCTGCCTCCTGCGTGCCCCACGTTGGGGACCAAGCCCGCAACCCAGGCCTGTGCCCTGACCGGGAATCAAACGGTGACCTCCGGCCCATAGGTGGACGTGCAACCACCGAGCCACGCCGCTGGGCTTGGTGCCATTTTTATACGTGTGTACATCTGTGTAGCCACCACGGCAGCCAAGATACACACTGTTCCACCATCACAAAGACTCTCCCGTGCCAGCCTTTGTCCCCCCAGCCCCCGGCAGCCTCTCTGTTGCCGATCTGTAATGCGACATTCTGACCCAAACAGGTTGTTGTCTGTGTCAATCCCCCCCCTCCCCTTTGCTCGGTTGAACTCCAGGACACCGAAGGCACCACAGTCACTAACCACTCTCCCGCCTTCCGGTCTGACACGTCCTTGGCCTCTCCAATGACCACACTGTGTACGTGTGTGTCTTCCACACCTTTCGGCCAGGTGAGCCCAGGAGAGCGCAGACCTTTGCCGCTCTTGTTCCTTCCTGTACCTCCAGGGCCAGGGACAGTGCCTGGCCCACAGGAAGGGCTCAGCAAACACTTGTGGAGAGAGCGGTTTCGCAGAGGAAGAGATTGGGGTTTGGGGAAGTCGGTGGCGGAGCCTGGTCTCGCCCCGCTCCCTTGGCTCCCAGCCCACCGCACCCCCGCGCCGCCCGGCTTCTCCTCTCCGGCCAAGCGTGGGCAAAGCGCTCTCGTGTCTGTGTTTCCCTTGGCTGGAGGGACGCCGGCCGGGGTTTTCAAATGAAACTTTACTGACAGCCCGCAAAGCCCAAAGGGAAATAAACAAGGGAAACACGAGGACTTGTAAAATGTTGAACTTGTGAAACAGATTTTTTTTCTTTTCTTTCTCAACACGTGGTGTTAGTCTTCTCTGGGACCCCACTCGTGCCTGAAAGGGGGACACCCACACAGAATGCTTGGTGCCCAGTGAAGCATGACAGGGTGCGTGACACTACTTTTAATTTGTAAAAAATGTATTTTTATTGATTTCAGAGAAGACGGGAAAGGGAGAGAGATAGAAACATGTGCCGCATCAGCACAGCCAAAGGTGAGCCTGAGAGGGGGCGGCTGAAAGGCTTAGGAAAGACAGACAAGAGAATGAAAGCCGGGTCTCGGTGGGACGCTGCTTCTCTGAGTAGACGGCGACGACCCCCACAAGCGTGTCTTTATTTTATAGCAGATGCCACGAGGCAAAGTAAGGGCGTGATCAAGATGTTTACAACATTCTCCCGGGTTTCGATCCTACTCCACTACATGCACCTGAACTCTATCAAGCCCACATCACTCAGGCACGTGGGGCCACGTGTTCGGACCATAGGTTCAAGCTCACAACTACAGCTGTTGGCTATAATTGTGCTGGGAGGGCCCTGCCCTCCAAGCTGGGACTTGCACGTGGCCATGAGAGGACTGTGCCCTCTCATCAGTCCAAGGCAGTGGTTCTCAACCTTGGCTGCACATTAGAATCACCTGGGAATCTTTTTAAAGTCCTGATTTCTGGGCCTCATCCTCCGGAAATTCTGTTTCTTTGTTATGGGGTGGGGCCACAACATTAGTAACAAAGAAACAGAATTTCCGGAGGATGAGGCCCAGAAATCAGGATTTTAAAAAGATTCCCAGGTGATTCTAATGTGCAGCCAAGGTTGAGGACCACTAGTCCAAGGCTTGAACCTGTCCAAAACACTGTAGCCGCTCTCCACAGAAACATTAGTGATAGCCTGGCCAGTGCGGCTCAGTGGTTGAGCAACGGTTCGATTCCCAGGTTTCAGGCTCGATCTCCAGTAGGGGGCGTGCAGGAGGCGGCCAATCAATGATTCTCTCATCATTGATGTTCCTTCTCTCTCTCCCTCTCCTTTCTTCTGAGATAAATAAAAACATATTTTTAAAAAACCATCTCCCTTCCTCTCTCTTTAAAAATAATCAATAAATAAAATTTTAAAATAAGATGGGTCGGCAGGGCTGTGGGTGAGGCAGGCAGCAGGGCAGGGAACATCAGCAGTGCTCTGGGGCCTATAGTCTATTGGCCTACATTACACTGACGAGACGTTTAAAAATAATAAAAACGATACATGAAAATGAGGTTCATATTAGGAAACCCCTCGGCCTCCAAACAGCAGGTAGGAGCTGCGGGCAGGGGGTGGGGAACCAGCCACAGCGCCGCTGGAGGGACAGCCCTGGTGGTGATGTTGGGGACTCCACATGACGCCCTGCTCTTGTGCCCCGTGGACTCTGCAACCCTTTGCTCACCAGCCCCTCTTCCTCTCTCTCATTCTAGTCTCCCAATAAGTGGAATCCTCATTCCTCTCCTCTAATCAGGACAGGCACCTGCCTCTGGGAGGCGAGGGGAGGAAATTGCTGCGAGTCCTACGTTCTGGGTGAGGCGTCTGTGCCGGGAGCGGACCCCAGGCCCTGTGCCGGAAGGCGGGCAGGAACAGGCCTCCAGCCCTGGCCCCCAGCTCAGGGCGCCCCTCACCAAGTGCCTGATGGAATTCCTCGCGCTCTGGGGCTGGGCTGAGGGTGAGACGAGTGTGGGTCTAGGACCCCCCCTCCACCCTGTCCTGAGGTCAAGGATCAAAAGGGTCCAGAGACAACCAGGTGACTGTCCTCCGGGGACGCCCTCTGTGCCGGGTGCCACGCGTGGTCCCCTGAAGCCTCCAGCAGCCCGCGGTGCAGGTGTTCCCCATCTTACAGACACCGAGGCTCAGGGCTCGGGGCCGCCAGGGTTCTAGTCAGAAAGGGGTTGTCCGAGCCGGAACCTGGCTCATCCTACCCCTGAGCCGCGCAGGTGGGAGGGGGCTTCGGGGTCTCAGGTCCTAGGTTGGTGCCTGGGTTCCGAGGCACTCGGGGTCCTGCCTGCTGGTGACCCAGCTCTGGCGTGGGACAGGCTGACAGGCAGAACGGCCCCTCCGCAGAGCCTGTGGGTGGGCTGAACCTCGCACCTGCAGGCGGGTCCACTCAAAGGCGGTGCTGGCCTTGCAGGGGGGGCTGTCCAGTGCACGGGGAACAGGGCAGCTCCACAGAAGGAAAGAAATGCAGTTCTTTTCATTAAGGACTTTATTTCTCTTAAAAAAACGACAGTGGTTTGATCTGGACACAGCAGCACTGCGACGTGTTCCACGGACACAGACCCAGCGCAGCAGAGCCCAGCCATCATCCCAGCCACGACCCCGGAAAGGGAACGACCCCCGAAAGGGAACCGCTGTCACTCACCCCCATTACATGTCCCTGAAGAAAGTAGGTCCTTTGGCTACTAGGGTTATTATTCTACCACCACCAACAGCCACTGAGCCCTTCCAAATGGAGCACATTTGCGTTTGGTCTATTACAACATGCCTTATCGATGGCGATGGCCGGAAAGGCATCTAGATTCTTCTCAGGAACTGCCTTCGCCTCGAGGGAGAGCCAGCCTTTCCGGTTTGACCACTGTCTGCAGCGCAAGCCTCGAAGGTCAGACCAGACCAGCACGCGGCCGAGCAGGGTCTGTCCCGTGGGCCCCCGTCCAAAGCCGCCGCTCGGTTCAGAGAGGAGTGAGCTCTCCGCCTTCCCCACTCACAGCTCCGAGCTTCAAAACTTCAAAACGCACCCATTTCACACCGTCTCTCGGCAACAGGGGCTCGAAGGCGAGGAGGCCCTGCCTCGGCCGGAGGGTGGGGCCTGAGAATGGGAGAGGCGCCCTCGGAAGGTGCCAGTTCGCGGGGACAGAGCACATGCAGCTGAGAGGACAGCGATGCCGGCCGGGCTCCGCTTCACCTCGGCGGACTCCTGCTCGTCCGTGGCCGAGGTTCCCCCTGGAGAGGCCGCGTTCAGGTCTGGGTCGGCAGCCCACGCGGGAAGGTCGGTGCGAAATGAACTGGTGGCCTGAGCCTTTGGGGAAGGGACAGGGTGTGGAAGAGCAGGGGCTCCCTGGTGGGCGGGCTGCCTGGGGCGGCTCCGCTTCACCTCGGGGGACTCCTGCTCGTCCGTGGCCGAGGTTCCCCCTGGAGAGGCCACGTTCCCCCCACTGGTGCCATCCACGCCACGCATGTCCCCAGACCTCACGCCTCGTGTCCCGGCGGGCCGCGTGTGCCTAGAGCCGGGCCACGCTGCTGTCTTCTGCGCGGTGTGGCCTCCCCCCCACCCCCCAGGCCCGGTGTCCCCTCTGTGAGAGCAGCTTTTGAGGAAACAAGCAAACCGGCCTGGCAGCTGGGGACATGGCCACCCTGAGCCATGGGGTCAGGGAGCCGCCCAAAGCTCGCGGCTTTGGAAGTGACGCTCCGGCCTCGGAAGGGGAGCTGATGTGGGCTGCGGGGCCTCCTCTGCGAGGGTGGCCGGGTCCCGTGACACCCCGTGATGCCACGAGAGCTGGGGGGTAGGGGAGGGTGAGCACTCATCTCCCATCCCATCGGGGACAGCAGCTCCTCTCCTGAAAACGGGGAGCAGAGATGCCTCTGCAAAGACCCCGTCTCTCCTCGAAGGCACGACGTCCGAGGACTCAGGTGAGGAAATGTCACGCTTGGAGGAAGAACAGCTCTTCTGAGGGAGCTCAGAGGCTGTAGAAAAGATTAAACCCACTCACCGTCCAGCTACGCCTCGTCCCGGACAGGTGGGTGGGTGGGAAGGTGTTGTGTTTTGTTGTTTTTTTAAATTAAAAAACACCTTTTTAAAAAATGCTGCTATAGAAAACAAGTGGGGGTAGAAGGGGTGGCAGAGCGGGGAGGGTCAGGGACAGGAAGGGCCCTTGGGGACTGGGCTCGGTGGGAGGAGGCCGGTTGTCAGGCCCTGAATTCGCTTCCCTTCTCTGGGGGAGCCAAGGGCCCCAAGGGAGAGAAGGCCGGCGGCCCCGACCTGTGTCCGTGGGCGCTCTGGGGACAGGCTCCCGCTGCCTGAGCCACCAGGGACCTGCGCTTCGTGGTCTGAGCTCTGGCCACGCAGATCTGTGTCTCACCCCTGGAGGACTCCCCACGACAGACGGACAGCGCGTGGGCTCAGGTATGAAGACAGGCTGCCTTCTCAGCGCCAGTCCGTGTGCTAAGGGCTGGGTCCTGAGAATTGGGGGAAAGAAATGAACGCGGTGGCTGGTGACTGTCCTCGTCATGAAGAAAGGACGGCCAGCAAGAGCTCGGGGACCTTGACGTACGGGCCGAAGAGTGTCCGCTTCCTGGCAAAACTGAACGTAGCTCTGCATTTGCCTTGTCTCCAGCCCACGGAGGGAAGTGGGGCAGCCTCTTGAGACAAGAGCAGGTCTTGAAGAAACAACACGGCACATTGAAGGGATCGGCGGGAAGCCCACTGTTTCTTCTCTCCCATTTGTTTGTAAAATGACCTCAAAATGCCCGTCCCAAGGTCAGGCCCCTCTCGAGCAGCGGCCCCAGGACCATGGGCAAGGCTTCGGGAAAGAGCCTGGAGACTGGCTGACATGCTCGCCACTTCCCCCTAACGCTCATACCCCAAGGCTGCCTGGGGCCCCTGAGCGATGTTGGCATGATCACACCTGAGACCCACCGACGGCGTGGCTCTCACACCCGCGGGGCGTCAGCGGGACCGGCAGAGCCTCGGAACGCTGCAGATCTCTAGGTTTAGGGTGGAGCCTGGAACCTGCATTTTATAGGAGATGCCGGTGCAGGGCCGAGACCAGGAGAAACCCTGCAGCTGCCTGGGCTGGGCCAGGTCCCACTGAGGCCGACAGGGTCCCCGGGGACTCAGCCAGGGAGCAGGGGAGCAGGGGAGCTGCAGAGCTCACCCTGTGAGGGCGTGGCGAGGAGGAATTGCTCCTGTCACCTTCTGGAGACGGGGTGGAGCCTGGGACCTGCATTTTACAGGAGATGCCGGTGCAGGGCCCAGACCCGGAGAAACCCTGTAGTTGCCTGGGCTGGGCCAGGTCCCACTGAGGCCGACAGGGTCCCCGGGGACTCAGCCAGGGAGCAGGGGAGCAGGGGAGCTGCAGAGCTCACCCTGTGAGGGCGTGGCGAGGAGGAATTGCTCCTGTCACCTTCTGGAGACAGCAGGGGTCCAGCGGCTCCCTAGGACCGACGGCCATGCTCTAAAGGCCAGGCACTGCCTCCTGGGGCCACATGTGCCTGGAACTTTGTGGTCCCAGGTTAGAGCTGGCCCCTGCGCCCCCTCTCCCAGGAGGTGACCATGAGCTTGACTTGAGCTTCTTCGGTGGCCCGGCCTCTCCTTGGGCAGCCATTTGCTTGGAGAGCCAACGCTGTCCGTACCACCTGGGCCCACGCATCTGTGGGGTCCCGGGCAGCTCTCGAGACCCTATGACCCCTATGACTTAAGGATTGTGCCCGGAGTCCCTGGCAAGCCCCTCCCCTCTCAAGACTTATTCAGGTGACCCAGTGACCCCCCTTGGGCCATAAAAGTTTGGGACACAGGGGGCTCCATGATTACTCCTTATCATCGCTATGCTTCTCTTAGAATAAAACAAAAATCCCCAGACACACGCCTCTTGAAGACGCACTGGCTTTACAGTCCGAACCTGCTTAGAAAGAAAGGGGCCCAGAGAAGATGCTGAAGGCGCCGGCTCTGGCGCGACACACGGCCGTCTCGCAGGAGGAAGAGGGGGCCGGGGCCAAGGCAACGAGGAGACGTGTGGATCCCACGGAGCTGGCCCCAGGCCACTCCACAGGCCCCGCACAGGGCGTCCGGGCCGGGGGTGAAGTCCCAGGTGCGTCTCTGAGCATTTAATTCCGATTCTTCCAAATGACCAGCGGGCGATGTCAACGCCCGGCAAAGGTTAGAGAGATGGATGCAACCGACCCTCTCGAGGTGAAACGTGAATCGTTTTCTACCTTTAATAAAAACGTTTTCTCATTTGAGGCTGTGGAAGTCTTGAGTCACATTTTTTTTTTGGTAAATTCCCCCCCCACCCCTCCCCCTCTAAAATGTCTGAAAACACATGGCTTAACAGTGGCTGCACAGAAAATATACACCCTCAAAGTCTGACTTTCATTTAAATACAAATATACAAAATGTAAACTGAGGCGATAGAGAAATTTACAAAACTTTCCTTTAAAAATAATAAAGACAAAATTCAGTTCTAGTTATGATGCTATTAAAGTACGTGCAAGTCGTCGTATCCGATCGGATTTCTATTGCAATAGTCGACAGAGACAAAGCCAGTCCGCCCGGCTCGAGGGCCGCGTCTGCACAGACCTGAGTGGCACCTGAGGAGCCCGAGGCTCCGTGCCGAGGGCGGCGCCTCCTTCCTT